TCTGATCTTCTCTGACCTTGATTGCCTGCTCATGATTTTCCTCGAGCGAAAGGATCACTAACAAGGAAATCACGGTTTTATCACTGAATATGTAAAGATGCTTATCCTTCAAGAAGTGATAAAATAATACAATAATTCCAGTTCAGTCATTTTCGGCTGACCATGAAGATATAAAGAGAGGTAGTAAAAGTGATTTTAGTTTTCTTAAAGAAAGGATTTTTGAAGCAGCCGTAAACCCCTTTAAAGTAGTATACATTATAATTCGTGTGAAGGATTTCGTTTATCTAGTAGTTGATTACAATTATCAAGACACTTTTCAATACAATTCACTTTCTCAATGTTCTAAGCATCCTTTCAAGGTCCAGACTAAATGAATGACGGCTATTCAGTTGAATCTTGACTAATGAGAGGCTAGAATCATAATGGTGGATTTGGATGCTTCTCTTGCTTTTTTCGCTCAGAGCACAGGCCACAATTTGTACATCATTTTCAATCGTGAATCTTTTATCATCGATTTTGAAGATTCATACATAAACAAATGCTCAATATAACCTTAAAATACGATCTCACAAACTGCCTTGCAAAATGTATGATCATTGTGCTCGCAAATTAATTTGGTACTTAATCATTCTGTACACTTACCTCCCTGATCATTAAACGTTGCACCGAGCATAACGATGTCATTCTCTCCTTGAGCCCATCGAATGTCGATTGCCTGTTGGACTTTTTCATTTGCCTCCTCAAAATAGCCTTCTTTGGCGAGACATCGACCAAGTTTGGCAAGGCACTGAGCTCGGCTGTTACCGGTTCTAACTCCAAGATTATCCTGGATTTGGTCAGCCCTCGTGAAGTATTCTTTGGCTCTTTCAGCGGCGGAAGCACACAGACCAATTGGAGGACAGGAGCAGCTGAATACTTCTTTCATCCCCAAGGATGTGAGGCAATCGCTCAGTCTCGTCTGATCTTCCATCTGTTCGCATCTCGTTCGTAAAGATTCAAAGGCAAATTTAAATTTGGCCTTTGCCATCATCTTCGCCAGTAGCTCCGCCACGTTGTTGAAAACATCAATGCACTTTCCTGCTTGTTCTTCATCCATTTTACCATTTCTGCACCATTCAACGAGCTGCATGACATTTGCCTCATCTTTCTGAAAGGCTGCAATAGCTTCTGACGCGTTCTGGCTCAGGAACATTTTAAAGATGTCTTCCAGAAAGGTTAAAAAATGAAGGATAAACGCCCTCCGAGCATCTAAGATCACTTCACAAAACTCCTGCTCCATTGCTTTAGTTTCACAATAATCACGAATTACTCGAAGGAGGGTATAGGAGCATTCATCTCCAATAATGTGTTCTTCCAAAAGTGATCGCTGGGACAGTTCCAGTCCACATCGTCTGAGCTGGGACGCACTCATCTCCGTTGATTGAAATATTTTCTCTGCTTCACACAGAGAAAAACGCCTTCTAAGTAATGCAAATCTGATAAGGGCACACTTTTCTTTCGAAACAAGCCTCTCGAAGCAATAATCGATACAAACGTTGATCTTCATATCCTCTGATACCGTTCGAATCTTTGTCAAGAACTCGAATTTTTCTTGAGGCGAAGAACAGGTCATCTCTTTCAAGAGACTTAGCAGGTTATTGTGGGAGGAGGCCAGGGTGTAAAGGACCAGGGGAATACCACTGCAAATCTCTGACAAGCCATGTGCTTGGGTTGTGTCGACTTGCCTATCCTTCCAAACTCTTTTAAAAAGCTCAACGGATTCTTCTGGCTTAAAAGGCGACAGATGAACCATTTCTCGACCTGCCTCCGGAAAACAAACTTTCTCTGAAGAAGTGAGGAGAAGCTTGACTTTGCCTGCAACCTTTAAAATTTCATTGATTAGTTTCTTAATCCTCGATCCTTCCTCAGATGGGTTCATCTGCTGGAGTGACAATTCATTTTCGGGGAGCTGCATTCTGTCATCCAAATGAAGAAGAAATTCAAAATTATCCAATAACAAAATCGTGTAAAAATCTTGGCTTTTCA